TGAGGTCAGGAAGTTCCTGTAGACCTCAAACTCCATAGACTTAAGTGAATTAGGCTACAACCCCTGTGTTTTTGAGCCAACGGAGACTGTCACTTCAGAAGACATTTTACAATTCGAGATGGATTTCAAGATGGTGGCTCTGACAGAAACATCTACTGTGCAGCATGGGCTTTTGAAAAAAAACAAGGTTGTTGCAGCAACATTGTGTTGTTCTACCATAATCTGTACATTGAAACAGTGCAAGAAGGGAGGAAGGATGCCTCCACGGGCCCCTCTCCTCAGTCTCTGCTCCTCAGCATCACCGGCACACCATGCTCACCTTGTTTCCTTTCAGAGCATTGTGAGCTCAAATTCATTCTTACAAATCCTTCACCATTTCCCTCCAAAACCCTCTCCTCTCCCTGCTGGACGGCGGCTCCCTCTCCTCCCATGATGGGATGCAGAGGGCCACGTGCCCCAGCGCAGCCACCTGGGGGCTGGCAGCCACACAGGGTGCCAGGGCTGCGGTTTCCAGCACAACAAAAATAACATCAAGACTATCAGCCCTATTTCAGGACCATTCTCTCATGCAGGGCTGCCCAGCCAAGCTATTCCAGGCTGCTACTGTACTTGCTGGTGGCCGCTACCCGCGTGTGCCCGGCATACTGTACATTCCCTTGTAAGGGCTTGCCCCATTCCCTGCTCTGCTCTGAGCTGTCGCCTGGCTGTTTGCCCCACACCTGCTGGTGGGAAGGTCCCCACAGCACCCACTCTCGAAAACCTGCTCCCGAGGCTCTCCTGGGAGCTCCCTGCTCGGCTACGATGGCTTTGAAGGAAAGGAGGTGCTCGCAGGGCTGAGCTGAGATGCTGCGTCGTGATGGCCAAGCTCTGTGGTGCAGGGTAACACCTCTCCTGGCCTACAGCACCCCACACAGCATGGAGTTTCTTGTTAAGAAACCCCTTTAGAAACCACTCATGAATTTCCTAGGTCCTCTGCAATCAGCTAGAGTCTGGGGCACAGGAGGAGGGAGGTGGATGTCAGACCAGGACCAGCATGGGATCTCCCTCCTTGGGTCTGCATTGGAGGGCCTGGAGTTGGAGCTTCGCTCAGGGTTTATCATTGCAGATGTCAGCAATCTTTAAACAGCAAAATCTAACTTTTATGGGGTTCCTGGAAGCATTTTCATCATCACTCAGGAGCAGGATGGCAACAGGACGTGTGGGCGATGCCTCATGCGATAGGATCCTGGGTCACACCAAGAACAACAGGGATGAGTAATATTAGTGAGAAATAGGTAAAAGCTGGTGGATGTGGTGCTTCCTGAGAGGCAAAACATTTCACATCTCAAGGCACTAAGGACTGGGGACAGGCTTCATCCTATCCAGATGTAATTTTAATTAGATGTCTCACAGTTCTGTGTTTTCTTTATAGCCTGTGAAGGTGATGCACTCTAGATCCAGTGTGATCCCTGAGGGACACCCACCTGCAAGCCAACAGGTTGGCTCTGAACTTTGGGAACTGTTCAGACCACTCCAAATTCACACCCTTAACAATGGCAGTAATAAAAACATGTATTTATTTTCCCACCTGCATTTTTGCCCGACTGAAAGTGCTGAAAACACAATGCTCAAGTTATATTTTTGGCTGTCCTCTTCCTCACCACATTCCGTCCAAAACCTGTTGAATTCAAGCTGCTCCTTCCCTCTTCAGCTTTTTAAGGGCACATCTTCTTTAGGGGTATGCACCCAGCAAAGACATAAGGCATTTAAGAGATCAATAACAGGCACTTTTAGTGCTTAATTCAAAATCCTACAATTATTGCAAATGCCTGACATTTGTAGGGACCAGGATTCCCACTAGCAAGGTGCTACTTACTGGTTTTGGGCACCTGCTCTCTCTATAATGCTGTTTTTTCCTTCTGTTTTAAGGCTTTTCCTTACAAGCAAATGTTGGAACACCCCCTTTAAAAACAAGTATGATTTTTACCATGCAATGCACATCAGGCTAAAGGCCAGCACAAGCAGAGAGGGAGGCACGCTACAAACATCCCTACCCACAGCCACAACCCTCACGAAGGACCCAAAACACATTGTGATGTTGCACATTTCTCACACCACGCACAACAACAGCCAGGGTGCTGTCAAATGCTCGGGTTTTGCTCAGGAAATGGATCCCTCATCAGTGGCGAGCACAGAGGCCGTGACAACTCGTGTCACCAAACGCCTGCCAAGTGCAACAGCAGCGGATGTGGCTGCGCAGGGAGAGGAGACCTTGCAGCAGGAGATGCTGCCTGTTCTTTCCAGTGATCCACAATCATCTCGCACTCGTATCCGAGGAGCTGACAACGTCAATAACTGGCATTTAAGCATGAAATTTTACATCTAAAGAGCCCCTGCTGCTCGTTTGCTCCAGAACCTCCTTCCCAGTTGCCGTCCGCAGGGGTAAGTCAATCAGGATAGTTAAGCTTTCAAAACCTGACAGATGCTCAGCAGCTTTTTGGCAGCAGTGCGGCCCTGCTGTCTCTGCAGCGCCGCTTCCCACCACGCTCAACCTTCGGCTGAAAGCACCACTCAACGCTAGGCACCTACCAAAGTTCAGCAAGCAACCCCCGGCCAGCTCGCTGCCTCATCACCCTGAATTTGGATGAGCTGCTCTGCAAAATCTGGAAGCCGTTGCCTTGACCCATCAGATAAGGCTGCTGCTGGAGCCAATTTCTCAGCAACACTCCTGGCCTGCAGCTGAAGCAATTCCTGCAGTAGCCCAGCCTGATAAAACTGCTGCTAGATTCCTCCCTTCTTGGCTGAAGATTTAATTTGAGATCTAGTATCCCACTGTGCACTCCCCCAGACTTCCAAAATGTTCTCCTCCAAACAGCCTTCCCGTCTTGCACTGCCAGGCTTTGCACATCTGGAGTCCAGACTTCATTGTCACTGACCCAGGACTCACCATAGTTCTCCTCCTCCAGCTCAAAATTAAACACATGCAGTCGTCCCGATCTGAGCACAGCCCTTCTGCCAGGTGTTGTCAGCATCCCACCGCGCCAGCCCCAGCAGCTCACGTTCTCTTTTAAAACAAAGCAGACCCAGCTCGAGGCGCTCACGCTGGATTTCTAGGACCCCCTAAAAAAAAAACCCTCAGATGTGTCCTTAGCAATCTCTGCAGCCTTTCCACCCACGTCAGTCTGGGGATGAAATCAGGGAAAAATCTATTATCAGGCTTTTTATTTCTCCCTAAGGTGGAGAAAAACAAAAATAGCTGATGGAAATGGAGCATAACCATGCCTCTGCAGAAGCACTGGTGGTCACTGGTTAACTCCCCACTGGTGGGAAGCCTCCACGGGAGAACGTCAGTGGGTGCAATTTCTGTCCCCGGCCACGTGAGCCCATGGACCATTTGGAGTCACTGAGCGATTAGGGTCTGGCCCCAGAGGCCAGGATGTTCCCAGCACTGTAGGAAGAGTAAAACCACACTCTATTTTGTCTTATTTATTTCTGAGGAGGAGGAGGAGTTATCCATCTCCATGCTTTCCTTGTGCAGGATCCCTCCTGCCTGTACATCACCATGCCCAGAGCCACTGGGCAGGACCCCCTGCGCCTTTAGGCCCTTGTGCTGGCACAGGATCCACAGAGAAAAAAAGGATCCACATCATGCAGCCTCTTTGCTCTGACACAGAAACCTTCCCCTGCTCCAAATTCTGCTGTGCAAGCAGGTCTGGATTTGTCTGCAGCTTCTGGTGACTTTCAGGGTATCCTTGGAAACATTCAGGAGAATTTCTGGTGAATTAAGCTCCTCCTGTTGGCTCAGCAAGATGAACCCCTTCGCTTCTGGAGCTTGGTCCCTCCGTGCACCCAGCTTACCCAAGCGAAGGAAGGCTCTAGGTGTAACTTTTCCTGCTCCTGCTTGAGGAGAACAACTTCTGCTCTGCATCATCAGGCGTAAATCAGCAATAGTATTGCCCACGGGGAAGAATCTGGTGCAAATACAGACTGGACAGACAGTTTGCTTTTCTGCAGGTGATAGGCAAGAGCAACAGGCACTGTCAGAGGGGTGAGGCAGCCCTCAGAGAAATGGGCCAGGACCAGCTACCATGAGCTCAATGCTACCAAGACAAAGAGAAAAGCACCGAGAGCCCTCAGTCCCTCCTTCCACAACTCCTTCCTCTGGCATTGCCTCGCCTGACCATTGCTGGATTAAAAATAAAACATTTTTTTGCTCTAACCTTAAGCACAAGGGTCCCATCTGTCACTGAGGGCTCTGACGGGGCCGTGTCCTCTCCTCCTAACAGGCACCCCGAGCATCTCAGCGCGTCTGATGCTGACAAGATGGGCTCTAACTCTGCAGAGCTTTTGGGTGCCAGAACGACAGTGCTGAAGCATGACATCTGCTGCCGGAATGGGCGCTTGTTCAACACTGACTCAAGAGAGGAGAATGCCCCTTAGTGAGCCTCCAAGACTCGTTTCCCAACAACCCGAAGCTCCTGGAGGTCTCCCATCTAAATCCCCAGCCCCGGTGCTGCACGGCTTCCGAGACCTCACAAGAACAGTACAAGGAGGATGCTGAACTATTTGGGGCAACCCAGGAGAGAATCAATTTAGAGAAAGACCCTGATTTCCCACGTGGATGTGTTATCTGAGCTGTCCTGCCTCAAGTTTCACCCTTTGGTGGGTTGGGGTTGTGTGCGTTTTTTTCTGTGTAAGGCTTTGAGCGAGGGGGTCTGAGGCCAGCAGGGAAAGGAAAGGGAGGAAGAGGTGGCTAGGAAAGGAAAAAGGCAATTATTATTATAAATTATTATATAAATGCATTTTTGGGAGGCAGTTTTCTTCTGCCATCACCTCCCAAGTGATCAGGCAAAAACCTACGGTCAGAACAAGCCTCCCCAAACCCCAAACCCTCCGCATTGACTCCAAATAAATTATGTCAGAGACAAATCCTCCCTGACCACGAATTGTGCAAGACTTAGCATCCTGCAGAGACCTCTTTAACCCACCCCAGTCCTACAGCAAGCTCCGATTTTACGGGCTGGAGCCTCCGGCACCATCCCCGTCAGCTGGGGAAACGGGAGACAGAGCCTTGATCCTGCCAGCTCCCGAGCAGCCCAGCAAAGCAGCTCAGTATGCGGCTTATGCTGCAGCTTAACTGGCTCGGCATCCCTGGCCGAAGCAAAATTGAGCAAACCAGCGCTTGGCTGTGCTGTGCGGGTGTCTGTCCGTCCGTCTGTCTGTCACTGCCCTCTGCCGGGGGAGCTCCGAGGCTTCGGGACCGAGTGGGACACGGGTGGGTGCTGAGCGTGGAGAGGGGAGGATGCAAACCTGGCCCTGATGCCAAGGAAGCCCCGGTTCTTGCACCCCATAAAGACGAAATGCAAAGCGGAGCAGCCAGCAATGCAGCCGTGCACAGAGCCTGCACAGCCAACGCAGACACCTGTGAATTATACACACTGAAAAAAAAACACTCTTAACTTGCTTTGAGCCTAATAAAATAGTGGATCTGTTTCACACGCAGGTTTTTGTAACGCCGGTGGCATGCTCAGATGGGATTTGGTGTACGTGAGTGCTGCTGTCAGCAAGGGGGCAGGCTGGGGTGGTGGAGGTGCACCCAGGAAACAAAAGGTGCCAGAGGGAGGACAGGATAAGCACAAAGTGGCTGCAAAAAGGCAGAGCTTCCCCCTAAAATGTGAGGAATATGGCTGGGAAAACAAAGAAAGCAAGTTACACAGTATCAGGAGCGGAGGAGACTGCCCACGAGCAAGAAACCTGTTGAAAATTTAATGAAGTTTAATTTTACAGTTCGAAAACCAGTCTGATGTGCCAGCCTTCTAAATACTCCCATCAGAGTCATCTCTAACCTCACCATGGATGGACAGATGGGTGGATGGACTCACTTGTAACACGGGGCTCAGTGGCTGATGGTCAGCACTGTTTCACTCCACCCCAAGTTGTTTAGGTACCAACTGCCTCCTTCCCTCTCCCCAGGGCAAAGGGATGACTCCAGGACCCAGGCAGAGGATGGCAGCTGTGAGTTTTGCTCCTCTCACCACTCTCCTGTGTCGTCTGCAGATCCCTCCTGCCCCCTTTGATGGCTGTATTTGTACCGGGGACACAGCTATGGTGGCCATCAGAGGGACTTGTCTGTCTGGGAGAGCTGGGGCATTTTTCAGGAGCATCTCACAACGCTTCAGCTGGTCCACGGACACTGCAAATGGAAATTTCAGTCACAGCAAAGAAAACACAGCACACGTTGCATCAGAGCCGTGCTTCCTCCAGCATGGGAAGGTGCAAGAGGACAACAGGGAGGCAGCTGTAAGGGAATGTCTTGCCCATGGGGGCATCTAGAGGATAGTTACAGCCTGAAAGCACTATCCAGATCCAGACCTGCTCCAAAACTTGCTAGCATAATCCCTTACAGGTCTGGACTGATGCAATCCATACCAATATCCTTCCTCCTTTTTGAATTGTGCTAAGTGCCTGGATTTGGTAATACTCTGCAGCAACACCCTCCAGAAAGCGATTGCACATTTCATGAGAAAACTGCCCCTTCAATGAGGTGTGCAGCATAAAAATAAAAATGCAACACGGTCACATAAATCAGGGGGAGATGCTTACTTTGGGGGGTGCAGCAACAGTTAGCTCATCTCAGGGAGGAAATCCTTGATGCTGAGGCCAGGTCGTCATCTGGGATTTTTCCTGAGCTCTGCACTTCTCTAACTCCAGGGCCTAGGAAGAATAATTGATAAAGAAGTGAAAGCTGCAGCTTCTTAGCTCCTCATCCTTCCTTTTTGTCTGGAAGGAGGCTATTGCAGTGCCGAGATCCAGGATCTAAAGGCCACAGAGCTGGGTGACAATCAATTGAAAGTATATCCGAGGGTGTGAAGGAAAAGGAACACATTTGCACGGGGAAACCTGGCATGGGTAGAAGCAGCAAACGAGACAGAGAATAAGGTTTCCTCTCACTCGGGGGGGAAAAACACACGAGCTCTCCCAGGAACTTTTATGGGCTGAGGTCTCGCAGCCAAACCTGGGATCTCCTGGCTGCTGCTGAGGACTTTATGAGGTTCCCCCCCCAACACGGGCGCTGAAGTAGCCTGTTCCATGCACTCTGCTTGTCACTTTTGATTTATATCCCTGTCTACGGGAAGAAAACCCATAAATGAGGCATTTCAAGGAGAGTGTGACTGTCAGTAGGAGTGCCTTTTTCACATCGGTTTGAAAAGGCTTTGAAGGAGCAGCAGCTCAAGCTGCAAAGTCACAGCAGCAAGAGCATCCAAGCACTTCTGCAAACACAACGTGAAGGGCACCAGAAGGTGAGTGTGGTCCTTCCAGCCCCTTCCAGCCCAACCTGCTGATGAGGCTGGCTGTGTTTCCTGACCCCCAAAGCAATCCCCTGCTCATCCCTAGCAAGGAATCCATCAAATCTACCTGTTCCCCCGTGTGAAAACAAAACTCCTACCTGTAAAGGCTCCCTGTTGTAATTTCAAGCCTATCTTTTCCAAACAAAATGAAAAAAAAAAATGTCCTGGACCATGCTTCTGGATCTCTAAAGTCCCTCCTAAAAAAAAATAAATAAGAGTTAGAAGCTCAGTGAGCAGCACAGTTGAGCAAGCCTGGATTCCCAGCCCCTACTGCAGCCAGAGCCAGCTGGCCAAAACAGGGTAGGAAATGACCTACCCTTCTCTTCCCCCGTCCAGGCACAGGTTTTTACATTGTTTATGAACTTGTAATCCCTTTCACAGCTCTCCCCATCTGTAACGTTTGTTTGGAATTGGCCAGGAGCTACTTGCGGGGCCAACAGGCAGAGGTCAGGCTGCGGAGCCTTTGTTCCTTCAGGAAAAAAAAAAAAAAAAAAAAAAAAAAAAGATTCTTCAAAAAATCTTTGTTCCTGCTGAAGAAGAAAGAAAAAAGAAAGAAAAGGGGCAAAACACACAAGCAAGAAATTCATTTGTCATTCAAAGCGGCAGCAGCTTGTGCAAGAACCAAGGGGAAGCCAGGCACAGGCCTCGTCCCCTCTTCCCCATCTCAAATGCCCTCGCAGTGAGATGGAGACCATGCAAAAGCAAAATTCGACCTGATAAAAGCTCCCTCCATCCCAAAGGCTCTCAGGGATAGCCAGGGTGCTGCACAACAAAACCCCACACGTCCTTACTGCCTTCCCCGCAGGCTGGCAGCACGAGGGATGGCCGCAGGCTTTGGGGCACACCGCTGGCTTGGGGTTTCAGCTGCTGTTAACTCCCCTCTTCCTTTCATCCAGCCCTTTGATAAGACAAATTGGGCAACATTTATTTCTCATTGAGCCAGAACAACCCTCTCCAGGTGTGTGTGCTGCACTCAGCATTTCCAGCCTTGACGCTTCACGATGTGCTCCTGGCTCTCACATTTCGGGGCAGCATCGTGCTGGGAAACATCTCCGTCAGAGAACCAAAAGCCACACGGGGATGTGTTTTATTTGGAGCTCTGCACGTTGACGGCTGCCATCTGCTGGGCCCAACATCAGGATCTCCTCACGGGTACCTCAGGAGGTTGCTGTGCTACCAGGTGTGATCGTTTTATGGCAGTTCTCTCTTTTCGGGGGCCACAGAAAGAAATGACAGCAAAACCCTGCTCTGAAGAGCTGTTTGGAGGGAGAAGGGTGGGAATCCAGGCTGCAGAAGTGAATTGTTCATGGGGAACTGCATTAAACTGGCAACTAACCCTGGGCAGCCTATCTATGCTCAGGAATCAGCTTTGGGTTAAAAGGGTGAGACCGCCAAGCAATGCCAGCTGGAGCAAGGGCACAAAAGGTGTCATTGGACTGCTGTCACCAGCCGAAAACTAGTTCATAATCGAGTGTGGGAGAGAGACCCGACTGTCACAAGTGCTAGAGCAGGGACAGGCACCATCCCCTAGGAGCTTACAGCACAGCAGGCTCATGAGATGCCAAGAAGGAATAACATGGGGTCCCGCTTCCAAGTGCGTCCCAAAACAAACCCAGGAGTGGTATGCACATAATCCCTTTATAGCCAAGGACTGGGCTGAGGGTCAGAGATAAGCAGCTTGGGAAAAACACTCGAGTTTTGCAGTCCCATGCTTCAACCAACTATGTTTTAACTCTCTTCTCTCCTGTATTAAATGGGGAAATAAGACAGCAATCAGAAAATTTGAGGTAGGGGAAAAGCAGTGGTCCTTCCAACACAAGCCAGAGATTCTCCAGGGACATCAGATGGGGCAGTCGCTATCAACCCGTCCTTATTTCTGGTGAGTTTGCACAATGTGGAACCTGCTTTTGTCCCCAGGTCTCCTCCCCTCAGCTGACATTCCCAATCACCAACACAAAAAGAAGAGAAATCCAAGCCCTGGTGCTCAAACATACCTGGAAATGGATCTCCAGTGAAATACTGGCCTCTGCAAGCTGATAAGCTGCTTTCTCCAAGGCTGGGAATTTTAGAGCAGGTTAGGGCTCTAAAATTTAGGGCTCTAATTTTGGTCAGGATGGGGTTTGACACATAGATCCGTCTGATTCAGGAGTCTGTAACTCCCTCCTCTCTGCCCCCAGCATCCTCGTTTAGCTACAGGGGAGATCCTGTCCCCAGCTTTATGGCTGCGTTTTGCTTTTTCACAGCACATTGTGTAAGCAGAGCTGAAAATCCTTGAGGAGGAAGGGTGAGTAACTGCAAGCTCAGCATCGGCACATAATAACATGCTTCGAGCTGAAAGGGCAGAGAGAGGGGGGCTGGAAAGGACGCTCCCTCCCTCCCCACAGGGCACCTAAACCCATGCCCACGGTGGGATCAGCTACAGCTGAAGCCATCCCTGCTGGAGCTGCTCCCACTCCTGTCAAGGAATTTGAGGATGAAGACTTCATGGTCGCCCTGCACAAGCCAGGCCAACCCTTCTCTAATCTCATGTTAGGAAAATCTACTTGAGATGAACCTGAACGCCCCAGGATGCTGTTTGTGTCTGGGGTTATGCAGAAGGAAGAAAGGAATTACTCCCCCTCTCACTGACCTTCTGGTCTTCTCAGGACCCACTGGTCTGTGTTCATTCATGTACCCGTGCTTTTGGGTGTCTCAGAGTTTTGGTCACCCTCCAAGTCCCTCTGGTGGGATGGAGAGGCCTGGTTTGGAGAGGACTGGTTTTGGCATGACACTTTCTGTCCTGCAACACCATACCTGTGGGAAGCCACCATGTGCAGGAGTGTTTTACTGCTCTATAAAATCCCCTCCAGCACAGCTGCCCATGCAGATAAACCTCAGCTTGTCTCAGGTCCAGAGGATTCCTGCTCTTCACAGATCTCTGGGAATTGTGAACAACTGCCTGAATGTCCATGGAAGCTGCAGGAGGGGGCATCAGCGGTCCTGCATACGTTTCCATGGCCAGAGAAATGAAGATCTGTCATAAAACTGCTGTCTCTCATGAATTCTTCCACTTATAGAATCATTAAGGTTGGACAAGACCTTCAAGACCACCTGGTCCAACCACCCCCCTACCACCACTGTCACCACCAAACCATGTCCCCAGGCACCAGGCCCAACCTCTCCTTGAACACCCCCAGGGACGGTGACGCCACCACCTCCCTGGGCAACCCGTCCCAACACCTGACTGCTCTTTCTGACAGAAATGTCTCCTCATTTCCAACTTGAACCTCCCCTGGCACAATTTGAGGCCATTCCCTCAGTCCTATCACTGGTTACCTGTGAGAAGAGGCCGACCCCCAGCTCCCTACAACCTCCTTTCAGTCAGTTGCAGAGAGCAATAAGGTCTGCCTTGAGCTTCCTCTTCTCCAGATTAAACCCCAGTTCCCACAGCTGCTCCTCACAGGACTTGTGTCCCAGGCCCTTCACCAGCTCCATAGCCCTGCTCTGGACACGCTCCAGGGCCTCGATGTCCTTCTGGTACTGAGGGGCCCAAAGCTGAGCACAGCACTGAGGTGCGGCCTCACCAGAGCCGAGCACAGGGGGATGAGCACCCCCAGGTCCTGCTGGCTGCACTATTCCTGATACAGGCCAGGATGCCACTGGTCTTCTCATCCAAATCATCATGCCGGAAGGGAAAAAAAATACGCAGAAAATTCCTTCAAATGATATAAAACCCCACTGCCCAGTGAATGGTAGGAGAACAGCCTCCAGCCCTCCTTTTTTCCTCAGGCAAAGCAGACGAGGAGCTCATCTAGGTCCCCAACCAAACACTGGGACTTCCCCAGAGATTTTCCTCTGTGAACTCAAACCCCACACCTCCACCAAACCCCCCGTGAAATCCTCCCGGCACCACCTCTGCCTCCTTCTGCGTGTCACAGGGAAGAATTCCCTCGCCACCTATGGCTTCGAGTCCGAGGAAAGGGGATTTAGAAATATTATTAGGTACTGGCTTTGCTGTGTTTAATCCTAGGCAGATGCAAAACTGAGCATACAATAAAATAAATAAATAAGTTAATTAATTAATTAATTAATCTGAAAGGCATTTTTGCAGTTCTGGGAGAGCACTAGCCAGGGATTAGGGTGACACTTGCCACGTCAGCTCGCAGCCTATTTAACAGCTGCTGGCTCATCAATAGCTGCCTATAATTAACACTCAGTGATGGGATGCAAGTATTTCCAGCTCCACTTGCTGGAGGAAAACTGCTCATCCCTGCAGCCCTCACTTCAGGGTTGACTTCTGGCACCCAGCACAGGCGTGTTGCATTAGTGGCAAAGGATTTTTTTGGGTTTTGACCCTTTTAGGGGTGCGGTGCAGCTGGAGGAGGGGCTGGTCCAAGCCTGTGCACATCCCGGCTGGCAGCAGGGCTCTCTCCGAGCACTAGATGGGGCTACGAGCCCGCTTCTCAGCTCCAACCCTCTGCAAATCAGAAATGCTGCCCTCAGGCTCAGCCCTCCCAGGGCTGCTGTAGGGCTTGGGCGCATCTCCCTGGTACCCAGGTGTTTCAAAGCACCGAAATTCCTAATCCAGCCTGAGCGTGAGCCTTTACACGGCTCGTGACCACCTCATGGGGTGTTCAAGGTTGGACGTGGGTTAGTGGGTGATGGTGGTGGTAGGGGGTGATTGGACCAGATGATCCTGGAGGGATTTTCCAACCTTAATGGTGCTACGGCAGAAGAAGCAGTGAAACCCTATAAACATCTGCCTGAGCCACTGCCATCCATCCATCCACCCAGAGCAGCAGCCAGGCCCAGGGACACACCAGAATGAATTTCTGGCTGGTAACACGAGGGACAGTCCCCTCAGAGGGAAAAGTCAGGTTAGAAATCAAGGAGGATAAATTCAGACCAGAGAAATAGTCACAGGGTTCAGACACTCGTGACCTCGCAGAGGAAAACCCCTTGGGGTTTTGAAATAAGCTGCAACCTGTCCTAGTTAGCTGCCTCTATGAAGAGGAAAGAACCTGCTTAAAAATAACCCCCCTTCACCCAGGCCTGAAACCAGACCTGCTCGTGGTAATCTCGATACCGTCGGCACAAACCTGCCCTTCTTTCCAGACTTTGCATAGCAGGATAGGAGATAAGTTACCACTCCAACATGCAAACTTCCCTCCAGGATAGAGCAGCACAGAGAGGTCCCGAAAGCTGCTCTGGACCCAGATCCTGCTCTTCCCTCATGGGTACAAAGAGGTGAGCACCCAAAATCTGCCAGCACCCTCACCAGCATCCGCGGTCCTCTGCAGAAGAGCTGCTGAGCCTGGCAAAGACGGCAGGGAGACACCGCAACCCCACGGGGCATCCATCTGGGGACAGGAAGAGGAAAATAGCAGGGGAAAATAAAAATTAAAATATGGAAGAATTTAAAAAAAAAAAGAGGAGGTAGAACTGATGACAACATATAGGGAAAAGCTGGAAGCAACAGCCCAGCTCTTAAGAACCCCTCCGCAGTCAGTCTGTGGGATCTGCCCAGGTCCTCGCATCCCTTCCCCAGCTCACGCCGCGGTGGTGGGGAGGAAAGGGCTGCACCCCGTGGAGGTGTGCTGTGTGCCTGGTTTAGCTGGGACCAGGCAGAACCAGGCTGGAGAAAAGGAGAGGCTCACAGGGAGCCTTGTTTCATGCTCCCCTCTTACCCTGCCATTGCTTACATACTCTGGCTTCCATACTCAAGGCTTCCTTGGGCTATAGCAAATACGTTTACGCACAGCAGGAGAGGGAAGTAAGGGGCTAGGGAAACCACGCGCTGTCTGCTTTCTAGCTTTCCTTGTACAGGAAGATTAAAAGGGTTGTTTTCCTGCAACTTGCCCATCACCTTCCTGCTGGCCCTTGGCAGCCCCTTGCAACGAGCAGCTCAAGCGCCCAACCGCATACCGAGGGTGCTGAGCTCTGGGGATAGGAGAAAGGAGTAGGAGCGGCTGCACTGAACAGAAATGCTTTGTTCTCCACAAAGGCGTAGGTCAGGGGTCAGGAACAAGTTGGTTTTGGCCTGAGCACAAGAGAAGCAGGGAGGGAGAATGAACGAAGCAGGCAGATGATCCTGGGCAGGAGCGCGGCACCTCAGCAGAGAAGCTGCTCCAGTTCCAGGAGGTCATAGGCTGGAACAAGCGAGGTGGCAGGGTTTTGGTTAAGATTATTTATTTTTTGTTAAAGTACGAAGAGGTGAAGCACAAGTGCTTGGGCGAGCAGAAAAAGGCCAGCCAGCTGGAACAGGCAGGCACCTGGCGAGCTTAGCAAAACCTCAGGGCGCTGCATCTCCGCTCTCCCACCTCAAAACTCAGTCCGGGCAAATCCAGGCCTTGCATTATCAATATAAACCACAAAAGTTGTCATAACACTGCTGATTTAATGCTCAAGCAGCTCGACCGTCAGAGCTGTCACTGGTGTTGTGACCTTGCAAGTCATTCACACATGGTAAAGCTTCAACTCCAGCTCCTGAGGCTCATACCAGGTCTGCAGCAGAAGATCCGTTTTTGCTTGAAGGCTTTTTTTTCTTTTTTTTAAATTAAAAAAAGAATGTGAGTCATGTTGCTCTGAGCACATAGGTACTGCATGCTTCACCCAGCAAGGTGCAAGGAATGAAGGTGGAGTTTGAGCAGCAGGATTCCCACGCCGCAGGAATGCGGTGGGTCCCTTAGGGGCGATACGGGGAGCACCACGGAGCCAGGAGCTGTTGCTGATCCTCCCCAGGAAGGAAGGGAGGTTCCTACATAACACACACAGCCTGGGGACTTGGGGTCAGGCAGGAGGAGCACCCACCTTGCATCCCGCAGCTGGAGACACGCTGAGATGTAGGCGAGCATTGATTACCTGAGGTCGTGATCCACACCACCCATGGGGCTGTGGGTGGCTGCTTCAGCCCCTTCTTGCAGGAACATTCAAGGCAAAATAAAATAGCCGAGGAGGTGGAGAACACGAGGATCTGCTTTTAGCAAGAAAAGTGCTTTTTTTTGTGCCCTCCGCCCTGAGGGAAGTTGAGGAGCCCATCTTCCAACGCCCCGTGAGACATGGGGCAAGGCTGATGACAGACTGCTCCAACCTGTTGCAACCAGGACGTTCCTACACAGCCCAAAACCACCCCTTCCAGCACTACCCCACGCTGCAGACAAGTGGCTTGCTCTCCTCGTGTACCTCTGGCATGTTTGTGGTATCATAAAAAAAGAATTGTGACCTTACCCACGGTACTTTTCCAACGTGTCATCGTTTTATCTCCAGCTCCAGATAAACTGCCTGGGCGCAGGATTCATATAGACTTGGAAGACAGCACCGTAAATTCGCACTTGGCAATTCAAAGCTCCCAGCGTTTGTTTGAACAAACAGGACCTAGCCAAAGTAAGCAAGCTGCTCATCTCTTTTGCCATTCTCTAAAGAGCCATACAATTCAGAAAAAAAAAAAAATAGGGAAGAAAGAAAGCTTCACAAGTTTTTAAAATCCTCCAAATGCTTTCAGAAGTGTTTAGTCCTGATGTGAGAATTTCTATTTATCTCACCTGAAGGTGACAACTAAAGTATAAGAGATTATGCAAGTACTCACAACCACTCTAGAGCGGAAGGAGAAGAAAGTTGAAGCTGTTTAAAACACACACAGACACATCCCTGCACAGGAACCAGGAAAAAAAATCAGCCTCATCACAGGTCAGGCAAACACATGACTGATTCCTCCTAGGACAGTTACCAAGAACAATTCTGTTGTGCAACACAACAAGTCCAGCGCAGCTCCCGGATTCTTTGTTGATGTTTTTAAACAAACACTAGTAATGCACATGGACAAGCAACAAGGCACTCTTTGCAAAGCTAAGTTCTGGGACACAGCGGCACAGACACACAGCTCTTCTTGTTAACTCACCTCGAGCAAGACTGAGGAGTCACAGACCAGAAGACACAGACCTGTCTCCACCTCCTTAAGGAGACCCATCGTTGAGTTTAATGCCAGTGCTAAAACCCAGTCTGAAATCTTCTCATTCACATTAACTTCAGGAACCTGGATGCTTGTGGAATGGTCATTGTTAAGATGGATTAAGATGGGTTCCCTCCTTCCAGGTACCAGAGATGGAATTCCAATGACAGGTACCAAAAAGGCACAGAAGAAAAAAGGAGACGGACTGAAGAACCAGCCTGAGATCTTCAGTGCCTGGGATCGCACTGAAACTTTAAGCTGGCTCCGTAAAACATGCAAGAACCTTAATAAGCGAGGCAAAACAAATGACAAACTAAGACAAATACGTAAATAGAAAGTGGTTTCATCAGTTTATTGCTTTTAGCAACCCGAACTTTGCTGCCATTTCACATATGGTCGAGTCTGTGCAGGAATACTCAATGCCATAAACACTAAAACAAAAAACAACGTTTTATCACGAGCCATACAACTGGTGGGAAAACAATCTAACCCCACATGGACATCATTTGAGAATCTGACAATAAATACATCATATCTCCAAAAAGCTACTGGCATTTACATTAATCAACTGATTATTTTTCAAGTTACTGAATAAAGCAAAACTGGTGAGGGATCAAGTGCTCTGAAACGCATGCTACTGGTGTATTCAAGACATCCTCCCAACGCACACGTTCTGAACTCTTCCATAATTTCATTAATGCCTAAATAAAATTAAGGTACTTTGTTTCCAGTTTAAATACCAGGAGAAAATAATTAGCACATTTCAATATATTAACTAAAAGACCATCTGTATAAAACTCTTCACACATGAAATATTTTAAATTAAACAATATAATTATTATACTTACAGGAAAAAAAAAAACTAGAAATTTATTGCTAGTACAAAAATTAATGTGTTTTGAGGAGGAGAAGTTAGATTAATATTATTGCTATAAACACAAACAGTGCCAGAGACAAGAATCTGATTTTCATATTTGTTTATCATCCACAACTGGCTTTCAAGGACACGTAGGTACATGGGACTTGGGAAAGTTGAGGTCCACAACTTCTTTCAGAATTCTGCTTTACGATCTGATGTCATTTTATTGCCTTTCAGTGTAACGGCCAGAACCAGTCTGCTGCTCCTGTGGCCTAACGTTATCGTTCATTCGATCTCCTCTCCGTGGAGAAAATAACCCCTGAAAAATTGGCAACCACCATGATCTTGCTTTCCCTCATTAGCTGCTTGAATATTTTAAACTCAATAGTGCTCTTAGGTTAGCCCATAGCAAAAATAAAGAAGTGGGAATGTTCACTATGTGGAGAGTCCGTATCAATATTTAAATGCCAAACTTTGATCAATTTTGAAAAGATTGAAAGCTTTCAATCCTCCAAAAAAAAAAAAAAAAAGCATTTTTCACATCCAGTGGATTGCGTAACAATGCTACTCAGTGCAAACCGTCACCCCTGCTATTCCGCTGGTAACAGAACCGAAAGGAACTACACCTGCTCGCGGGTCTGCGCGGTCCAGTTTCCTTGCAATGCACTGATTTCCAGTCACAAGAGCGTATATTCACATCGGCTACTTTTTTTTGTTGTTGTTATTTTAGAAAAGCACAATGCTTTTAATAGCCGTTTAGCTTCCTGCTAGGTCATATTTTCTCACCATGATTTTGTGATTTTCTTCTTACACGCACTCAGCTAGTTGCTGACTTACAAGCAGATCTGGAAAAACTAACAGTTCAGCCTCTCCATTCAATTACACAGTCAACACTGGAGTTCACACGGGTTATCGTCAGTGTAAACTATTAAGATTACAATAGCTGTAATTAATTACTAAAGGATTGTGAAGTAAATCAATAGAAATTTTAGCCTAGTCATAGATTGTATTATTGCTAAATGAAAGGTTTATACAAACTGGTGTTTTATGGACCTAGCAATTCTCAAGTCATTCAAAAAAAAAAAAGAGGTATTAAAGCCACTTCTTTAATCGGGGTGGCTGAAGTCTGGTGCAAATTAAGTATTTAGGATATTTAGAAATAATTGTCTAGGTCTGAAAGAACGGAAATGTCCAAGACCAGGTTCAGGTAAAAGCCTTCTACTGGTTACATCACCTTACAACACGCCCTGGGATCCAAACATGCCTCATGATAAAGCAGGATTCTAACTCGACACATTAATGCACCAATGATTTTAACATCAAGCGTGAATGCTAGAGTACTTACTTGACAGTTGTTGCCACAACAGTTTCTTTTTCTTCGCCCCCACTCCCACATTCCTCCTTCCAAAAGAAATATTAGCACAAAAACAAAGGAATATTTATATTTGAAGGAGAAACAAAATGGTCAAGTTGCAAGTGAGAGACTTGAGAAGTACACGCCTTGCTTTTCTTTTGAAAAGGAGTCATACAGCAGGAGCTGGATCCACAGCAACAGTAGTTCAAGGGAAGAGAATTACTGTATGCTGTCAGACAACTCAGGCTAGCATTGTGCATACCTTATACATCTGAAAACAACAACTCTTCCACAACTTAAAACATTAAATATTTTAAATGGATCTTTTTGAACTCCACGTTGTATTTACATAGCTATCCACAATAACGTGCAAAAGTAAAATTCAACATCAAAATAAAGTCCAACAAATTGAATTTGACATTAAAAAAGGCAGCAGAGGTTCCGAGTCCATTTTGTACACACTTTTAAGAGCTACTGAGGACAGTGAAAAAGTTGTTCCAATGAAGCTTCTGGGATTTATCAAATCCAACCGTTGGGCACTTCTACCACTAGCTGTCTTTGCTGCAGAATTCACAATGTATCCCACCAGTGAGGTCTTTAATAACTTTTTCTTTGACCAGTTTTCGCAGTAATTTTGTTTCACCTGTCACATTGTGCATAGTTTGTCTGTTCATGGCAGCCATGCAGAGGTTGTTGTAATAGTGCAAAGGAGTGCTGGGCTGATCGAGGTCATATCCAAATCCTGCTATGCTCACTTCATCACATAAATGCGTGGCTAGAATAACCGCCATGACCCCGATCGTGGGTACATTCTAAAAAGTACAGAGGGGAAAAAAGAAAAGCCTGTTGAATTCAAATGGCTTCACATATTCTCCTTTACCAGTTCCATAACACTTCACAGTATTTAATACATTTGACTACTCCTTCTACTCACTTAGAAGTTAATATCAATTAAAATTATAATCAGTTAAAATTAAAAAATAAGTAAAGATCAAGTGAAACTAAACATTTCAGGGCCAAATATCGATACAATTTGACTAACTGCCTTTAGCAGTAATTTTGGCTTTCAATGCTACATTTTTTACTGTAAACCGAAGGCAAGACACCCTATTACTAAGTAAATTTAAACTGCAAGTAAGCTCTTGCTCCAAACACTCAACCAACTGACAGGCAGTTACAACTTGGCATTGCCCAATATGTGCTTGCTTCAGTCTTGGACAACAAGCACTCCAGCAGTAATCTTCAGGAAATTACTTTTCACTTAACAGCCTTTGAATGTGAGTATACTTGGATACACATAGAAAATAAATAGCTCGGTATAGTACATTATTTAGATAAATAAACATTCCAAGAGGTGAAAATCCTTCAAAACATTTGTGCAGCGCGTTACCATTAACAGCCTTCCCGCAAAGTAAAACGGCTATTGTTATGCAGCACTTCTCATAGCTCAAGAGAACTACTGATGTCCAATTTGTCAAATAGTTGAAATTTAACAAAAATGCAGTGCTTAATTAAATCGGGCAGTTCATCACTGCTAAAGCTCAGGACACAGCAGGAGGATATAGCAGTAGTTCACTGCAGTGGTGTTGAGCAGGAGGGCATATGCAGCAATTCCCATATTTGGAAGCACCTGCCAGAGGGAAGCTTGCTTTACACTTCTCATGCTCTCCCCACTGCTGGAGACAGATCTGACTGCAGGTGATCTTATTAAGGTGATTGCCTTAACAGGGCTGCTCTGAACACACCAGTCAGTCAGAAGTCTGTTCTGAATATTTAACACCAGCCAAAATGATGTGTAAGTGAACACCCTACTGGAGTGAATTTGGGTCTTGCTGCTCCGTAAAGCAGGACATCTCATGTCAGCGTGCACAGGCGTAAGGCCTCATCTGAAAGAGGTGAACTGAAATCCTGACTTGATTTTACACAAATAGAGAAAATGCAAGTCTTCTGAGAGACAGTTAATATTCCATTACTTCAGACCAGCTGACATCCCACAGAAGATCTATACTGAAAGAACCGCCAAAACCTTTTTTCAGTTTCTTATTTTATTCTTTTATACAGTTTCTCTCCTAAAATGAAACTTCTTACCTTATCCCAACCCCAGAATATTGATCGAGGCTTGGGGAATTGTAAAATGTCCAGAGCTGTCTCTTTAACGATGACTGGATTCAGAATCCGAAACTGTTTTGATGTAAAAGGAATTTTCTTAGCAACCTCCTTCCAAAAGAAAAGTCGTATCCACAGAGACTAAGAGAAAGAAAAAAAAACAAAAAACAGTTGACCAAACGGAAACTCTGACACTATCAAGCGTACAGCAAACATGGTACATCAGTTATAGAATTCACTACTGATACTGAGAAACTCAGGAAACAGCTTAGAGCTGATTTTGTTCTGACATACCAGCATCCTGTTCAAGCAATTGGCCTAGAAGAGGAAAAACCTTCAAAGCGTTTGGAATTGCAGAGGGTAGCAGGGGGAAAGTTTGCTCATTCTGAATGTTTGACTGAACTTGGTGTTTAATCAGCCAACATATCCACCAGCTCTTCTGGGTTCTCCGGACCTTCCCCAGCACAACCAAGCAGCAGCAGCATTTGAAGAAATAGGAAAGGGAATCAGCTTTCCACAAACATTAACCAGGTCATGCTGAAGCGAGCGCTGGACTTAAAACAATTGCTCGGGCTTTGAAGTGAACAGCTGTTGTTTGACAACATCCACCTAGTGATGAATGTACCACTTCACAAGAGGATTTACACTAGACTCAGCAAACTAGTCTCTGATCTCCTGCCATGTGCAGTCAATGAGATGCATACGAATGAAAAAAAAAAAAAAACACACACACCTCGCTCAGGCTCGTTTTACAAATCCCTCCACATGACATGTAACACTACACATATGATAGAACTGACATGGCTGCAGCATAGGCCTGTGTTTTATAAATCTTATAAACAGGCTTTTTTCCTTCTACAAGGTGCAACTCCACAGCAGCTTAAACTGATGGAGTTTGTAAAAAAATAAATAAATGTATTTTGCTGTGGTCCCATGTTTCTACCTGTGCTCTGAACGCTTCAGTAAAGTACCAGTGCCTGCACAGGAAGCTGACCAACTGAAAGCCTAATATTTGAAACAATAAGTAAAAACATTCAGCTTCCAGAGCACTTCCCAAAACTGTCTCTCTGTAACAGCAAAAACACCAGAACACGGAAAAAGGTGCGAATGGACAGACACTGATGGGGACAGCACAGAGATGTGGCAGTCTGGTCCAGAATTTTGATTAAGTTCTGCAGAATCCCATTTCTTTATGCTCCTTTCCAGCACAAATATAAACATAGCGTTTAGTCATCTACAGTACATGAACAGTAGGAAGGAGAGAGCTTGGGAAAAGATGAGCATGCCAAGCCTAACAGAGCAGGACAAGGAGACTGGGACCAGACACCAGAAGACCAGGTACGAGGATAGACCGGGATTTTCTTTTTCTCCTCTTCAATTGTGTATTTAAATAATATTGATATATTAATACCCCAGTTCTGCTCTTAAGACATGCAACTCAATAGAAGGTACCTTTTTCATAAAACATATACTTGAACTCCTTGACAGAGGATGTCGTAGATGCCAAAAAGCAACCATATTTTCAATTCCCCAAAAACAGATTTTAATTCAAAAAGGCGTCCTCGTACTAGTCATTCTTGAAAAACAAATCTTTCAAATATGAACAAGCCAGACAGCTTGTACAACGAGAGAGGGATTCAACTCAAGTTAGAAAGTTGCTGGTTGGCAAAATGACCATGTTCCTGCAGGACCAACAGGACAGGCCAACATCGTCTTGTCCCTGGTAAAAAATCACTATATAGCAGCAACTCTAGAATTTGCACTCAGGAATATCTCCTCTATACAAAACATACCCTGATTATTCAAAACAAGGCAATATCCCTGGACTAAAGTAGTAGTGGATAGTCACGGTCAATATTAAACAGGCCTTCCGTATGCCTTCATGTCATAAAAAATAAAAATAAATCATAGAATTAAAAAGGGAACTTGGAGTACCTAAACTGTTATGCATCATATTGTTCAGAAATTGGACAGCCTTCCTTCTCAATCTATCTCAAAAAACGTAGAACAGTTGTTTCCAATCTGTGGACAGAAAACCCTAGCTAGGGGTTTTCAGCTTATGGAAACTACCTGCCTGCAAACTGAAAGAAGCAAAAACCACCAGTTTAAAGAGTTTGGAAACACAGAGCTCTTCTATCAGTTCCTTAGGAATATCTGTACTTCTGTAAACACTCAGTGAGAAATGAGTAATTTCTAATTCTGGAAGACCACAGACAAATGTGACAACTGCAGTTTTTCAGTTAGTTACAACTGCAAGCCTACCACTGAAGGAGCACAGACTTAAATGGTTAAAAATGTGGGACTAGCAGCCAGCAACCTCAGGCTCTGCAGATTCAAAGAAGTCACTGAAACCTAAGGTGAAATTAGTTCTACTTTATTAAACACTCAATATGTCACGTAGCTGAGTGTCTGAAATCTACCAGTATCAGTGGAAAAAACTGTTGCTGTCAGCATGTGGCTTAACCCGAGTGCTGTTACCAACTATAACTAGGAGACATAACTAAAAAAAAAGTTACATAAAAGATCCCCAGTATGATAAACCAGGAAATAGGGCATCAGTCAACTTCTTAAGCATTAGACAACAAGAACTGAACAGCAAGATCATATAGGTACATGCCACTGCCACTTTACATACCAAGGTTTCATTTTTTACCATTGCTTGTAGCCAATTGAAATCAACACTTTTAAACAAAACAGCCACAAATAAGCTAGCAGGAGGATACTCGAGTTCAGAAAGCGGGGCTCCTTCTGGGTAAGTCATCCGTATCGTTGTTTTGTTACCAACGTGATCTGTGTATCCTTGGACTGGCGCATCATTTAGCCTAACAAAAAAAAGGTTGAGAGAAACTGTATTTAATAAGCAGTGTGCAAACTCATTAAAACATCAGACACTAAGCAAAGAACTTGTATTTGGCCCGCAGATTATTTTTAACAGAGCAGAGTACAGTGTTTTCTCAGTATCTCCATGTTCCTCACCTCTCACACTCATCCATCCCCTATCTTTGATGAGAAGCCAGTTCTATTTCTGGGTTAGCTGGCAAAAGTGCAAAACTTCAAAAGAAAGAACTTGAATAGAAAAGCAACTCAGAAGAGCATTGCAGAATTTCACATTCACTGCCTTGTGCCAACTGAGAATCTTAACAGAAGGGAAAGAAAACACACAGGCAGTTTCCTGTATTCTTTTGTTTACACACACACACACGAGTATTATATACAGCAAAGGCACACAAATTATCCCTTCACAAACACACAGGGCAAAGTAACACATCCTGTGGGTTTGCATCATTCCAGCTCACAAAAAAATAAATAAATCAGAAGCAAGCACACTGCTTACAAGAACAGTGTCACCCAGCTCCATCAGTTCTGCAGAACAGAAGAAACTTTTTCTGTATCAACGGGAAAGCCACTTTCAAGCAGCCAGCCCTAATTTCAAAGAACAACTAATGAAAGTTCTCTGCCCCTCTCCATGTCACGGTTTGTTCACCTTTACGTAAGAGGTATTGACTTGCTGTACCCATTCTTCCCTTTGTAAAAGGAATAAGACTTGTTTACAAAGCTACTTATGAGAGTGCTTATATTACAAATTTATGATTTCACATGATTCAAAATACTAAGAACAGCTCCAACAGTAACATTCAGAAAGCACAAATACAGACCATATTCTGGACTTTAGCAAATACAGGTAATCATAGAAACCATGCACTGTTCCTGTAAACATAAGGAAAGATAAGCAGCATGCTCTGCAGTGTGTAAGCAAGCTGTATACTGAAACACTAATGCATTTTTATCGTGCTTAAAACAGCTGTTAAAAAATCAAATAAGCTTCCCAAACAAACAAGGGGGAAAAGACAGTCTTTAGGACTCCTTTCTGTCTCAGAAAGCTTAAATATATGAATAAATAAAAACACTACTGCTTATTTCTCTAAGATCTCATTGGTTTCTTCCTCAGTTGTGCCTGTACTTTTTGGTATCTGAAGTCCACAAATCATTACCCTGAATTCCTGCCTTGTGAACACAATGTTACTCTGCTCTTAAGACTTTGAATTCTATCAATTCACAAGTAAATTTCGAAAAAGCACTTTCAGAAATAGTCTGATGTATTGCAAAAAAAGTTGGAGATATTTTCCCCTCAAAAAGCAACATCAGTTCATAAAGTAAAGCTGAAGTAGTCTGAAGCCTGAAATAGAAAATACATACCTTATAACAATATCGAACTGATTCAGTAAGTGACCTAGCTCTGATCCATAAAGAATTCCACCACTGCCAACAACAACACAACGTTTACAGTGTTTTGACTTCAAATCTTCTGGCAAATCATGCTCAGGTAAGAGTTCGAGGAGATTTTTAAGCTTATCAAAGAACCTGTGAAATCCAAAGGGAGGTCCGTATTTAAATAAAGCTTCATCTTCATCTATGTTTTTTCCTACAAAGGGAGATATGTCCATGCTGTATTTCTCCGCAAATAACTTTCCCATTTCTGTTTTCACGTAAGAAGGTCGGCACTGTTCCTGCAGCACAGCACTGGCATATTGTTGTGCTCTCTAAAAGAAAACAAACATGATTTCTGTTAGGAAAGCTAGCTTCAGGAACAGAAAAAGCCCTCTTAGAGCAACCCGCCAGGTGACAACCAGCAGTTAAGCAAACACTGGGTTTTGTAAAGAAAACTTAAACATGGAAATACAAAACATTTTCAAGCAGCACAAGGTAAAAGCAGCACAGGGTAAAAACCTGCAAGTGAATGTCTCTCCATCCAATCATTTAAATCTGGATAGGAGGTGTTCGTTTTTCTTTTTTTTTCTTACTAGGCTAATTTGTTTTTTAGAAAACAGGGAAGTGAAAATGCTACCTTTTTTCAAGAAAGACCTGCCCCAAAAGCTGCTGGAGAATGCCCTGTACTGTTACTTACAAAGAAAAATTAAAATTACCTTCTCCCATCTAATTCAGCAGTGAGACAGCAAGAGGAATTCTACTCCACTGCTCAACTGCATGACCCAAATTCTGCCTGTCATAGGTTTTTACCAGAGACATACCAGCTGGTTAGAAGTTGTGTCAAATGGCAGGTTGGACTTGCTTACTAATCAAAATAAAGCAACGCTTCTTCCAGAAGTATTGCTAATGGTATTGCTAATGACTAAACCACAACTCGAAGAATGCAAGGGGGATGGGGAGTGGGGGCGTTTTATGTCTTCTTTCAAAGACACGTCACCAAAATTAAAGGCTGTGGTTACAAACTCCATAAAAAATACTAAGCTGTAAGATAAACCACAAAAATCGAACTGTCTCATTAAAAAGAGTTAATCATACACATTTTTCAGAAATGGGGGCAAACTGGTATCTAAAGCAAGGAAGAAGAGAAATAGCAAAGATTATTTTTAGTCACTTAAAATAATCCTTTTGCATATGTTCTTCCCCAATGTAATTCTGCTTATCTTTCCTCCACTTTAATCAAAACAAGCAAAAAAAAACTACATTAGGCAAACACACAGGTCAGAGTGTGTGCTGATCAAATCTAGTGCTAATGCAGTTCCCCTTTTGTACTTCTACAGAAGGGGAACTGCATATCTGGGTGCACAAAAGGTGGCATGGGAAGCAAGCTGTTTATGTATTTTATTTAAATAAAGAGATCAATCTGCAGAACTACTTCTGCCACAACAGGCTCTGCAAATCTGGGCATAAACACCAAACTTCTTCCTGGGCATACAGTCTTTTAGGCTTGCTTCGATTACGGTTGTAGTTGTTTGGGAGCAAGAATGTGTTACTGAGAAAAGAAGTCAAATGAAATGCAAAGGGAAGGCAAGGTGAACCTGTAAAAAGCCTTCTGAAGGAGGTGGGGAAGGAAGGGTGCTCATACAGTGATGCTGAGATACAGGTTACGTAGCAAAGGCAGAGAAGTGTCAGCAAGAACACTAAGAACGGTTTATTGGCTTCTGTTATGAAAGCTTAAAAGACACATGCAAAACTGCAGCAGATGTGCTACCTTAAATTAATAAGTAAATGCACAAATAAAGAGCTGCACCCTCCTGCACGTTAGACTTGTGATTCCAAAAACATCTGAACAGCTACAAAGTAAAGCAGACTGGGGAACTGGCTTGGGTAAAAACCACCTCTTGGTTGAATGTGTTGGGTCTGATTTTAAAGAAGCGTTACTTTCCATTTGCATTAGTTTCTTGATCATGAGCTTTGCACCGACACCGCAGAAAGGTAACAAGCAAGGAGCAGAGGAGGCAGCTCCTTGAAGCTGAGCATCAGCTGAAAGCTGGCCTGACATTAGTCTCCCTTGGGGCTGTCCCCTCTGGGCAGCACTCACCTGGTGGCAGCCAGGCAACACCTCTGCTCCTGCTGGGGCCAGGAGGGCCCAGCGCTGAGGAGCTGCGACCCTGGGGCTGGGCTCAAAGCACCCCAGGGGGAGCCCTGCTGCAGGTGCCTTGGTGGCTGACCCAGTTCCCAGGGGACTGGAACAACCCCACAGGCTCGCTGCTTTTCGCTTTTCTGGTCTTACACAGTAACCGTGTTAGGAAGGCGTGGCTATTTCTTACATTAATCTTTAACAGCCACACAGTTGGATCATTTCACCCCTAAAAATCTCGTTTCCTTTTGCACTTCCACAGGAAGCAGAAAACAGACAAACAACAGAAAAAAAACCAACAGTTCTACACCATGAAGAAAACATGAACAAAATATATTTTCCCCTCACAGGATGATCTCAGCATTCAAGTCCTTTGTTACAAACCCTTATAACGCTCACAGAGGACTAACAAACCTTTTTGTTTTAACCAAGTAGAAAATACCAAAAAATACCAACCCTTACACGATCGAGGTCCACATACGGTGTTTTTGTTCTGTCACATTCTTCAGGGTAAAAATGTAACTTGAGGATATAAAGGAAGCACCCTCCAACCACAAACAGTACGAGAAGTCTAGAAACAAATAAGTTCACGTAGGGGTTAGGAGAAGGGAAAAACAGCAACCCTCTAACTCCTAAATAGTATTTTTAAACAATTTCAAGACAGTTGAAGAATTTCAAATGAATATTTGCATTTGATTCAAACCAAGATAATTGATGGTTTTGTTTCCTCCAAGTCTTTCACAACTCTTAAGAGCCACTTGCAGGGAAGTATGAAAATATACAGATGCTTTGATAAGAAAACCATTGCATACTGATTTTACATATTCCTATACCTGCATCATATATTTTAAATGCATCTCTGATGGATCCAAACACTTCTGATCATATAAAGAAACCATAAAGTGACTTTTCCTACTGTAAAGAAAACGCTATTTTGAAATACGCATTTCCATGCAAGTTGTGTGCTTAAAAAAAAAATAATAATAAAAAGAACCTCAAATTGCAAGGTTTTCAGATAACCACCACTCACAAACAAAATTTCAACTCTCTGGCAGGCCAGACCACAGAATTTAGATGCTTGGGTTTATGTTAAGAAGACTAATATAATTCTTTTTTCTTCTGCACGTTTTGGGGCTATAGCTTATTTCACTCAGTTTCAAAGGGTTATCTGCATTTTTGATCTACTCATTTCTCATTACTAAGGAATCTCACTGTTGACTCAGTGTTGATCTCCGGTGTTGACTCACTTCCAAACTGATTTGCAAAAATTACATCATTATTTGGTTAGACTGTGGTTGTCGCTCAGGTATATAGTTTGAGCTTTATCATTGATTTTCTTTTTAAATTAATTATTTCCTATGGTTGCCAGAGGACTTCTTTTAAATGTTCTAAAAAAATACGTAAGCTATAAAGCATTCAGTACTTCTTGAAACTCAGTCAGACAAAATCTAAATGTATATACAGGTTCCCAAGATTTTAGAGAGGGAAGCAAAAAAAAGCTTGTATAGATAAATAAACCCACTAAACCTCACTGGCCTTCATTTTCCCCAATTATCAGACCATGCAAAGGGCTTAACATTGTTACTTATTTGGATCCAAAAAAAGACCGGAAGCACTTGACAGCAAAATACTGGGATCTCACACCAGCTAGGGAAAATACGTGTAATACTATGAGAGTATCGAGGCTCCTCCAAGTATTTTAGGCACCCCAGCAAAAGCTGGGTGCCTAAGCCTCCATTCAGATCCTGTGGTAATCCCATACCTTGATTTTTGCATCCTTTTTGTAACTGCTCAAGCTAGAGGGAGAGCAACTGCCTCTATATTACCACTGCAATGACACTTACTTGGGAGTACCTTTTAAAAACCAGATTGGTCTTCTCATCTTCATGTGCAACTACCTTACACCATTGCACAGGAGGCGAACGATCACTTTTCAGCTTTACAGAGTTAGTGTCACTCAGCATTGCTGTAAAAAAAAAAAAAAAAAAAAAAAGAGAGAGAGAGAAAAAGGTTTTATCATGATTTTTTCTGAATGGAGAAAAAGTTCAAAGGACATTCAAATGTTCAAATGACTCAACTTGCCCCATCTGCCAGCAAAGACTGTGATTCTTTCTGTGCATGTCAGGAATACTGAATCACTCCCGACATCCTTATGATCAGGAACATATTCATTTTGGATGCAGTGCCAGGAAATGATTCTAAAAATATGTAAATGTTTCTATATATAAGTCTAATAACTGCAACTCTTGTTGGACACTTGTTTGATCTCAGTCAAGCACCATTTTGCTTGAGCATTCATTACAATCCAGACAGAAAAATCTGTGTAGCATGCTTAGGGTTATTTAGGACGCCTGAATCAAGATGTCCAAGTACTGTGACACCCTGCAGGATTCAAGTGTGCTCCCAGCATACAAAACCTGCGTGCACCATCCCATCCCCAGAACTGGAACCCACAGCTCCAATCAATTTCCCAAGGTTAACTGAACCTAGACTCACAGAATATCCTGAGTTGGAAGGGACCCACTAAGATCGTCAAATCCAACTCCTGGCTCCACACAGGACCACCCAGCAATCAGCCCTTGTGTCTGAGAGCGTTGTTCAAACACTTCTTGAACTGCATCAGGCTCAGTGCCATGACTACTGCCCTGGGGAGCCTGTCCCAGTGCCCGACCACCCTCTGGGTGCAGAACCTTTCCCTAACCCCCAGCCTGACCCTCCCCTCCCAGCTCCATGCCGTTCCCTCGGGTCCTGTCGCTGTCCCCAGAGAGCAGAGCTCAGCACCTGCCCCTCTGCTCCCCTTGTGAGGGAGCTGCAGGCCGACCTCTTCAGAAGCCCCAGCAACACAGTCAGCAACTTCAGCAGCAAGTACCAGAAGGGATATGCAGAAAACTCTGCCTGGAGGGCAGCAGGGCCGGGAGGCTGCCAGCACAGCAGCAGTTTCTGTGCCCAGCAGCTCCCCCCAGAACACCCCAAGCCCAGCAGGGATGCACAGCACCCCTGCACAGATGGGCAAGTCACTCACCGAGTGCTAACAAGAAGCAACCTCACCACTTGGCAGGAAGGAGACAGTGTGTAAGCTCCCACAAGTTTCTATCGGCATGCTCCTATTCTGATTTTGGAAAGAAAAAATGCAGGCTGGCACACCAACTTCTCACAGGCTGCTGCCATTAATCTAAGATGGGAGCAAAACCGGAAAGCAAAGTCTAACTACACAAGTCAGCTGTCTTTGTACTGACCAGAAAGGGGCACAGACAAGGTTTTTAGGGCCTTACTGACCTCCCAAAGCAGCTGCCTTTGATCAGCCATCCACAGGACAAACAGCCTGATCCCCTGCAGCAGAGCTCAGCCCTACTCACTGCCTTTGATCTCGGTGCTTAAGGCTCCCTGCTCTGCCCTGCAAGGACGTTCACACTCCTGCTCTCTTGCCAAGAACTGTCACAGGGAAGTTGTTTTTTTAATGAGAAAAAAAAAATCAGGTCTAAGAGAAGGCTTTTATCTAGAGGCAATTCCCAATTCTCTTTTTGTCCCCATATAAAGTAAAATGAGGTGGGGCAATTGCCCGTTCAACTTAGCCTGCACTGCCACTCTGAACCACCGTCTATTCGAACAGCCACCCAATGTTCTCAGACACCAGGATGAAGGAGCTGGTGAGATGGACAGGTCCCCTCCTCCAGTCCAACCCACTAAAATCTAGTTCAGCAGATGACACGAAGGCTTCCACACCACCACACGTCGCTTCTCAGTAATGAATCCAGGATTCACCACAGGTCAAAAGCCACAAACAGCAGCAGCGGGGCAGAGATCAGTGCCAGCACCTTCCATCCTTTGAAGAGCAGACAACGGTTAAGTGATGCTCTCTAGAGCCACCTGCAAGCAGTCACATACCACAAAACAGCTTAAAAAGAAGCCTTTTTTTTTTTTTCCAGCAGAAAATTTCACCACTCACCTCTAACGTAACAATATTGAAATAACCAAGCTGCCTAAGAACCTCAAAGTACCCACCTAGCTCTGTTTCTCAATGCCACAGACTCTCTGACCTGTCACAAGCATTTGCAGACCTTTGTAACAGAGCAGCAATACCTTACTCAACACAACACTGCAGCTGAAAGCACTGAACAAACAGGTCGGTATCAACATGCTTGCCTTGGAACAATGCAAACCAAAACCCAAGGGTTAAGCAATGGCCAAAGTCCCCAGAATGCTAGCAGTTAAGCTGGAAATCAATCTATGAGGATACAAGGCTGCAGGTCACAGGGAATTGATCAAGGGAATCAATCAATCGAGCAATATCTTGTCTCCTCTGACTGCATCTACACAATTGAAAAAAATCAGCGCAGGGGAGGAAAAATGGGTGTTGACACCACCAGGTACCTACAAATCCATTTTGCTCTCAGCAAACCTATCAAGCCCACGTGGGTAGAGACTTATCAAGTCATGATGGACCCAGCAGCTTTATACCCACATGTCCTGGAGACCAGCTGTCACACGGAAATCACGCTGCCAGCACACACTGGGAGCAGCCCCAGCTCACGGCCAGCATGGTCCCACACGGTGCAAGAGGCGAGCAGCGATCAGAGCCTGCTGCAGAGCGGAAGGAGAGCACGAGCAAAGGCTTGCAGAACACGTGCAAAGTCCAGGATTGCTCCATGCACATGGAGCCGGGTCACTGCGGAGACTGGCTGGGAGCAGCGCGAGCAAGGGGCACTCGGTGCTGTTTGACGAGAGGGAAGCAGGTCGCTCCCTGACATGGATGGCTTTACAGCACCGACGTGATCACCCGGTGCTGCATGTACAATAAAACAATAATTCCATCTGGTGCTTCCACAGACGCAGCTGGGGCAAAGTATAAAAAAAAAAGGGAGCCTTGCTTTGAAAAAGAAAAAAAGCTGATTAAAAAAGCAGGTAACAAGCTTCGGCAGTTTGCACTACGGAACAATGTAATAATTATCTCTTGGATAAGCAATATAAAAAGGAGCTTTGGTCATAGTCCATAGGAAGCTAGAGCAGAGCATTCTGCATGGAACAGCTACTGCCAGACTAGGTAGGGGAGGATCCTGCTGGGAAAAAAGTATTGCAACAACACGCCAAGCGATGCAGGGAGTTCTGGCCCTAGTACCAGCAGAATTTATGAAGGAATACGCTCCAGATTAAGCACACGTTATCCAGCAGTTTGAATCAAACCCATAAAGTTTTACGGCTTGAAATACGAGGGTAGGATGAAAGCCTTGCTGCCTTTGCTTTGTTCAGTGCAGATTTTTATTTGTTTGCAGATCGGTCTTTCTGACCCCAGGCCCCAGGTTTCGGTGCAATTTGATGGCAACGCTTGTGAAAACCCATTCGATGTATAAAAAATGTGATACTGCCTAATGTAACAACGTGCTCCTGCAGCACAGAACGCCACGGCCAGTCTCCTCTGCAGTATAAATCATCAAAAAGCAGTCTGCGAGCAGTCAGCTTTCAAGAATTTCCACAGATGAGAACCTCCTGCTACAGCACTGCACTGAGAGCTCCTCCAAGAGACGCAGGTTTCACAAAGCCTTTCAAAACAAAGAAACGGGGAGGCTGCAGAGATCTGAAAGAGAAGGAACCGAAGAGGTAGAAAGCAGCGAAGACAGAAGGGGATTAGTGAGGAATGCAAGGCTGCTATGAATGGGTACCATCAGTCTGCCCTGGCTCTGAGCAAAATAAATTCCAGTTCACCTCACTCATCCTGGATGTGCAAGAAGAAAGCGAGCTTATTAACAAGGAAACAGAGAATTTCATTAATCATCTCGGCACAGGCTCTTTGAGTCCAACTCTTAGTATTTAGCATACTCAGTATTTTTATTTAGTCTGTTTATATGACAAATAATGTCAGTTTTCATTTCATCTGCAACAGTCTGCTTCAGGCTGACTTTAGTCAGTTCTGTTTACTTAAGACGATCCCTTTGCTGACGAAATAAAAATATACATATCTATATCCAGTAAAGTGATTTATTATTTCTTTTTTGTTACAAATTGTTTGGAGTTCGATCCTGCACTCTGAACTGAGTCAATAAGGCAAGGCTTCCCAAGGGCACATCATGCCTGCCTGATCTGGTGGCCTTCTGTGGTAGAAGGACTTTATCAGCCAACAAGAGAAGACGACTGATGGCATCTACCTGGACTTCTGTAAGGCCTCTGACACAGTCCCACACAACAACCTACTAATCCCTAAATTAGAAAGAGATTGATTTGAAGGGTGGTCCATCCAGTGGATAAGGAATTGGCTTAGTGTCACACAGAGTGGTTCCATGTCCAGGTGGAGGTTGGTGACAAGCGGTGTCCCTCAGGGGGCTGTCCTGGGACCGGTGCTTTTCGGTATCTTCATCAATGACACAGAAAATGGGACTGAGGGAACCCACAACACATCTGCAGAGGGCACCAAGCCGAGCTGATACCCCAGAAGGATGAGGTGCCATCCAAAGGGACCTGGACAGGCTGGAGAAGTGGGCCTATGGAAACCAAATGAGGTTCAACAAGTCCAAGGGCAAGGTGCTGCACCTGGGGGGGGCAATCCCAGACTGGGAGAAGAACGCATGGAGAGCAGCCCTGCAAAGAAGGACTCAGGGGTTGTGGTGGATGATAGAACAAAGGGGAATGGTCTTAAACTGAAAAAGGATATATGTATATTAGACATTAGAAAGAAATTATTCACTGTAAGGGGAGTGAGACACAGGAACAGGCTGCCCAGAGGAGCTGTGGAGGCCCCATCCCTGGAGGTGCTCAAAAGCCCACACTGGATGGAGCCTTGGGCAGCCTCAGCTGGTGGGAAGTGTCCTAATAAGTCTTCAAGTTTACAGAGAAAACCAGTTAAGTTGGCAGTTTATAAATTAAGAAAGTGCCAAGCAGCTATGCCTGCAGCACATATATTCAGATGTTGCTGTTTGCATTTAAACACCACTGCGCCCCTTCAGAAAGGGACAGTGCAACATTTGCTTTGAGAGCCCTAAGCGTCTCAATTTGCTTACAAAAGATGCCTCAGTAGTAATGCTGCCTTACAATCACATTTTGCATTGACATTCCCATAGCTACCCATTGTGGTGTAATTAGTGAAGACTCGAGGGACTTAAATTTGCTTTTCATCTACTGAACTTAAGTGATCCCTGCAAAGCTGCTGTGAAAGCTAAATTGTCCATCAGTCGGAACACACTCCAAAGCTTTTTGTGGTGTTATTCTTTTCACCATAATTTACTTTTGTCTCATTGTTATTCTTAAGTAGACAAGATTTCCACACTTAGAGTATTTCAGAAGCAATTAATTTAAGTCTTTGGGACTTAAAGTCTTTTTATGTGGGAATGCTAAGCAACAAAAAGCAGCGTGTGCTGAGTTGCACCCAACCACTGCCACGCCCTGAACAATCGCATTTGGTTATGTGGAGCACCTGGATATACCCGAGGACAAAGGGAAGGACTCTCAGCCCCGCTGTTCAAGCTCTACCAGCTGGGTTACAAGGCATGGAGACAGAACCAGAGCAGCCTGTAGACAAGTGCAGGAGGCACGCTTACATCCCTCACCATCCTCTTGTTAAAGACCCTGAGCTGTAACTCCAGGCAGTGGATGCAGTTTCCACTTCCCTCCCTCACCTGTCCAATTCAAGGACATTCCTCTGTCTCCCCACACACTTACTGTTAGGCAGTAACTCCACTCCTGCAGGAATTTATCCATCCAACCTCAGCAAGTACCTGCACATGGACAGATATCAGCAGCCTGCAACTGCACACGGGATATCCCAAGTTGGAAGGGACCCACAAGGATCATTGAGTCCATGAGAAAGCTGCCTGAGGCGGAAGGACAAGAGATATCTTGTTTTACAGCTGTATAGTATCTAGCTCAACATTAACTACACCTGAAGCTTGTGGGAGTTGAAAATAGAAATCAATATTCTCTCTCCCGGTACTACCAGGAATAGAAACAGCAAACTTTGAGTCATCCACAAGACAGTCCATCTCAAGGTCTTGGTGCACAGCTTTTGAAGTTCATGTAAGAACACTGGGAAGTTGCAGTATAAAGTCCAGGGCAAATGAAGGAAGACACACCCTACATAAAGTGATCACTAGTCAAGAGCAATAGGGCTTGAACAGGCAGTAAATCAGGTGGTAAAACTAACACAAAACACCCCAGAAGCACCTGCTCATTTCATGTCCCCTTCTCTAAATCAGATATGCACAAATTACTTTAGAAACATGCTTCTAAAAACAGTAAATGATAAAATGAAACTTATTTGATTTTAAGCAACATTTGTGTTTCAGAAAACAATGGTGAAATGTAAAAGGAACAGGTGTTTGTACACAGAAGAAACTCTAGCAAGATGTTCTTCACTGAGATGCTGCACCATTACCACTGATGAATTCTGCATGCCCTGTTCAAGGCTGGTTGTTGGAATTGTGTCTTGCTTTTTTAAACACAGACAATATTCCAAAAATTCACACAAAGGGTTAGAAGAGGAAAGTTTCCTTTAAGGAAACTTTAATCGCTTACAGATTGTTTCCTGGGACAGATTTGAGGAAAACAGACAAAAATTAGGGGACAACTACACCACTAACATCTGTGACTGCTTGCCAGGGTTGTGCCCAGGGAACAGATCACACATTTTGTCTTCCTTACTGACCAAATAGCTGAGATACTATATTCATCTTGAAAGCCTTAACGAAGAGCAATAGGCAAATAGCATGTTATTAAGTAACAAAAGAAAAGTTACTTTGGTAAAATTTATAGTTAGGATAAGTTTTGTTTGCTTCTGCAGTACTAAAACCCAGAGATCAAAGAAGAAAAGATCTTAAAAAAAAAAAAAAAAAAAAAAAAAAAAAAAAACAAGGGAAAATTATTAACTGGATAGTAGTTTGTGGTTTGCCTTTTTCTTCTTCTTCTTTTGAGATGTACAAAATGTTTAAGAGCCATCTGTTAAGCAGAGCCTCTCAGCTGAAAATAGCACCTAAGAAATTAAAAATTTTTACAAAGAAAAGAAGATAAAAAAGTCAGTAGATACATTTAAAAAAAATAAATGGAAATTATACAGATTTCAGAAAACTTGGAAAGTGCTCACAGTTCCATGCCACATCCTCCAATCCTGCTGAGCTCACTGTAGTGGACAAAACAGACTTGACTTGGGGAATTTCTACTTAGCTGAATTTATTTCTAATTAATGCAACTTCTAACCACAGACTCAAACATTGAGGGGGGAAAAAAATGATTAACCCATGAGTAAACACCTCTCTCCTCCTTTTCCCAGACTTCCTCGTCTCCGTTCCCCCCCCCCCCTTTTTTTTTTTTTGCCCCAGGCTGCACACGGATCCAATCCCAACTCCTCTGGGGAGGCAACGGGCAGTGCAGGAGTTGGGGACCGTGTCCCCCAGAGCATCTCCTGCCCCTCATGGCTTCATCTTGCTCTTGAAAATGCCTGAGCAAGGTCACCATCAGCTCTTCCGACCAGAGGTTTTGACACCTGTGGGTTATTTCCACAGATTTCCAAACAAGCTGGCAAACGCCGTGGCCCACCCAGGCTCTCTCTGCTATGAGACCCCATCGTTTATGCTCAACGTGCTCTCCCTCCCCGGTCTCCTGCATCAATCTGTGACTCCCTCAGAGCCTTTCTTTGCTTTTGAACTTCATCTCTTGACTGGAAAGAGTAAGCCAGTATGAAAGAAGTTTTGCAAATAAGCTCTGTCCTGTTTAAAAGAAATCATTACAAACAACCTTCTCTTTTAATCGACAGTGGATGAAGCCCTCTCCCAACAATATTCAGGGAGGAAAAAGA